TCGAATAGCATGGGATCAAATTTATATACGCGCGCTCTAAGGGGTGCCCCCCTCTCGGTCCCAACCGGAAACACCCATGCCCCCTGACCGGATGACTGGCTTTAATCCAGGGCCATGGAACCATCATCACGGCCTCTCCTTTTGGTGTGTACCAGAAAAGCGGTTTGCAACTTACTAAACCATATTCCTTGCGGAAAACATGTGGTAGTACAGGGAAGGAAATGAAAGGAACTGGACCGATACGGTTTGACACTGAAGTCACATAGTCCGGCATGAGACTGGCATGCTACAACACTGCCATCTCACCCATCCTCATGCCAACACATGGCCATTCATACTCACATCCATCCACTTATGGATCATCGAACTCACTTACCTCATTATCGCATAAAATGACATTCATCGATATGCTTATCAACATGCCATGAAACTAACTAAATGCAAAACATGCCAAGACACTCATCATATCAAAGGTTCAAACATGCTTGCCTGGTTCAAAGTAGTCGGAGCCTAGCTCGGTGAAGTTCGCGGCTCCGTCACCTCCTTCGGTATCTACGGTATAAAGAAAATATATGCGCTATCGTAAATACCAAGGAGTGCACAGAAAGTATACCAAATATTTTCCAAATAAATCTGATAAAAAACTAGACAAAATTTTAAAGAGAACAGAAAAAGAATCAACCAAAAATACCTTTCTGATTAAAAGTTATAAAGGTTTTTGTCCAGGGACTCATCTGTAATGAAACAGAAGTTTTCTAGGGGCTAGTTTATAAAAACAGAAAGCGCTTCGGTAGCGACTACGCCAGCCCAGAGGGAAAGCGCATTCGGAAGAAGACGTTTTCAGAAAACGCTTCGTTTAGGAAGAACAGAGAGGCTGACAGCGGGTCCCGCTTGTCAGGTTTGAAAATATGAACGGGGCGGCAGATCTCGCCGGTGCCCGAGAGCCGCGGTGGTCGCCGGCGGCGATCCACGGTGAGGCAGAGAGATCGGAGGGTACCTCCGTGTTCAGGGCACCCTTCCGCGTCGGTTGGTGGTGGTGGTGGCGGTCGGCGAGCACCACGTCGACGGCGAGCTTTGCTCCGGCGGACGGCGGTTCGGGTGGTTGCGGACTTCGTCGGAGAGAGCTGCAGTGATCAAATTGAGAAGGGGGTTATGCTCCTATTAGCCAGAGAGGGTAACGAACGGGGTTTGGGCGCCGGAGACGGCCTCACCGGAGCGAATCGAGGTGGCGGCCGAGGCGGATCGGGGCGGCCGGAGTTGAGGGGGAAGACCTCCTCGGGGTCCCCCTAGTGGCCTGGCGTGGCGTTGGTGAGGTGTGGGGATGAGGCGTGCACGAGGGTGAGCTCGGGGGCCCTTTTTATAGGCAGCCCGAGGCGGTGGCCGTGAACGGGGATTTCCAGCGATGGTTACGGTGGCGCAATGCTCGGTCGGGGGTGATTAGGGAGTCGAGCGCCGTCGTGGGAGTTTACTGGGTCCGTTTAGATGCTAACCGGACATGGATTAGAAGCTTAGGGCAGGCTTTGGTCGGAACGGGACGGCGCGGGTCCGTTGGCGGCAGAGAGCGCGTCCAGGGCTGTCGGGCCACGGCGACGGTGCAGCGGGGTGCGCTGGCGTGCATGAGGCCACGCGGAGAGCCAGGGAGCGCTGGGCGGCGCGGAACGGCGTTGAGCCACCGTTCTTGCCCCCTGTCAGCCGCCACGGGATGTACCGACGCCGCGGAAGACTCCGGCGAGGGTGGACCATCGTGCCACCGACGCCAGGAAGAGGCCAAGTGAGCGTGTGGTGCTCTAGACAGTAGGAAGAGGCGGAGAGGAACGTGCCAAATGCACTGTGAACGCGTGAGAGGAACTGACGAACGCACACGACACTGAAACTGAACTTTTCTGAATTTTTGAACAGCAACAGTGCCCGCAAGGTGTTCGACAGAATGAAAAATGGCATCTAGGGATTTTTCCTTGAGCTGAAACTTGGTGGAGTGGCTTCTCATTGCTCACATAGGTTGCCTGAATTTTGGTTGAATTTTTGGAGTAGTGTAGATATGAATTTCATCAAATTTGGCAAATCTGGTCCAAACTTGCAGAGGCTGAATTTTAAAAAATTTGAAAAGAGAAGGAGTGGATCAAGATGGTTCTGGGTTGTGGGTACAAAGGACTATCCAAGAGGGTTGGTTTGAGGTAAAAACTCAAATGCAATATGGTACTTGCTTTGAAAATCCCTCAGGCTCCAAATAATTATCAGATTTGTTTTGAGAGGAAAAATAATTAGAATAAAATCCAAAACTTGTTTGGATTAGTTGGGACAGAGGACTTAGGTTGATCACAAGGTGTAGGGAAGGTTTTGGAGAGGTTTTACCACATGGAAGCAATGCAAAGTTAAGGGTGGTTCCAAGATATGAAAAACCCCAAATTTTCATAGAGCTTCACTTTAAAATAAAAAATTTAAAACTCCCAAAAAAAATTAGAGAGAGAACCAACAGAGAAGAAGTTTCAAAAGATCAAACACTAAGGTTTGAAAAAAAATTAAAATCCTTGCCAAAGTAAAGGAAGTTTTTAAGTGGAAGGTTTTTCTGAAAAATAAATTTTTTAAAAAGGCCTCTCCTCAAAAACCACAAGGTTTTTGATGAAAACCAAATAAAATTTTTTAGAGTGTCACACATGGAACTACAAAGAACCCTAGAGAGGCCACGTCCATGGGGTTAAACCCTTAATTATCATGGTTGTACCCCTGTAGGGGGGACTATGGTGGTGGCATATGTGTCATGAAGTCTACTTCGAGTAGAATAAGTGTGTTCCTGTACCCGACTCTGCCCAGCATAATCGTCAAGAATGGCTCAAGTATCTATACCATACTATGCCCATGCATAGGCCACCCTAGAAATATACCAATGGGGATTCCGAACTCCCTGAGAACTCCTTACTCCTCCGCTATTCCACTAGTTACTCAAGTTATCGTTTTCTTATTACTTTCATGTTACTCACTTTAAAAGTTTGCTTCGCATTTCAATCACAATTTAATTCCTCCCTCACTTTGTTTGGAGTATAGAATTATCCGTGGGTACAAATCCATAATTCACCATGACAAGCAAAAGTCGAATTCCTATGCTCCATGTGGGATCGATACTCTTACTTTGAAAAGGCTACAACTAAACCTTGTGCACTTGCAGGCTATCAAGCTTTCCCGGGCGCCATTGCTGGGAGATGAGTGCTTTTGGGCTTTGTCTTAAGTCTTGAATTATTTTATGTTCTAACATTTTTGTAGGTTGCAATCAACCATGGTTTTTCAAGAACAAATTTACCAGGTAGGTGTGCAACTAGTAGCCGGACCAGTTCGAGGAGTGAAACTTCATATCTGTCGGTCCTAACCTATCTGGTAAAATATTTGAGATAAATCCTCAGTTACTTGAGATGTTGAAAAAGAACACATTCCGTGGTGATGGAACTAAAAGTCCTTATAAACATATTAAAGAATTTGAATTTGCATGTGGTACCTTTCAGTTGCGAAATCTAACTAATGAAGAGACAAAAACAATTTGGTTTCCTTATAGTCTTGAAAAGGAAGCTACCGATTGGCTATTACAACAACTTGCAAGTACGTTGAGTAATTGGAAAAAGTTATCATCTGTGTTCTATGCTTGTTACTATCCTCAAAGAAAATTATATAAGATAAGAAGGAAGATTGGTAGCTTTGGACAATGGCCAGGTGAAAAAACGGTAGATGTTTATATAAGGTATCAACCTATACTCTTTGAATGCCCTGAACATTGATATCCTGATTATTTGACTTTGAACTTCTTTTATGGTGGACTTGACTCACAAAGTAAACATGCTCTAGATATTGGTTCTCAAGGTTTTTTATGGGAACCGAGATTTCACAGGCATGGTGTTTACTTTGCAAAATTCGGCACAACACCGAGAGTTGGTACCTATGTTCAAAAGAGAAGACAAAGATTTATCCTAGTTATGATAGTATTAAATTCTTCTTTTGACCGAAGGAGATGAAAAATCTCTGTCATGAGTTTAATATTGGAAATGACCCCTCTTTCCACATCTTGAAAGATTATTTCAAGTTTTTGGCATTACCAGATGAAGGGTTTGTAAAGCATACCAGGGAATATAAAGCAATTCGCATGGTAGAGGCAATTATGAAGAAAGCCACTCCACCCACTAACCAGAGAGAAGCTTATTTCAAGCGGAAGGCCAAAGAGAAGGGAGAATCACTTTCAACTAAGCATAAGACGAGTATCAAGTTAAACAATATGGGACTCACCGCATGTCTATATTGTAAATGGACTTGCTACACCTATATCGGTGGTTAATAAAGAAGTATATATGGACCGAGACACCATCTCATATCTAAAAGGTTGTACCGAAGGTAAATATACATCAAAACAATTTTTGTCATGTTCCTTCGGTAGCAAGTCTTACTTTAGATTGTGATCCTGGACCTCTAGTTAACATTATTCCGTATCCTCTTTATCCAGTCTGAAGGCTTTGTACATGCATTCAATAGAAACTTAAATAGTAGTAAAACAACGATATACATACATCCATAAATAGATATATCTAAGTGAAAAACCAATTAGGTGCAAGATAAAGTGGGGAAAAAGCCTAAATGATGCACAAAAAGAAAACCAGGTGTTAATTGAAGCAAAATCCCTTCGTGATGCAAATCCCCGCGCTCTGATTGGCCAATCCTACCGTCCCACGGATCGCCACCCCCGAAACAAATCCCCACCGCCCACTCCCCGCAGATCCAACGGCTGGCACACTGCGTCACGCGGATCGCTCCCCCCTGCCGCCGTCCCGCTGAAGCTTGCACCTCCCAATAAAAGCCGCGGCCTCGCTGGCGTACCAATCCACAAACACAGAGCAGCGCGCATTCCGATTCCGCACCGCCGCCCACGCATCTCGAGTAGTTTCCAGCTCGCCGGAGAAGCAGCAAGCAAGATGGCCGGAAGGAAGGGCGGAGACAGGAAGAAGGCGGTGACCCGCTCCGTCAAGGCCGGGCTTCAGTTCCCCGTCGGCCGCATCGGGCGCTACCTCAAGAAGGGCCGCTACGCCCAGCGCGTCGGCTCCGGCGCCCCCGTCTACCTCGCCGCCGTCCTCGAGTACCTCGCCGCTGAGGTATGCGCCGATCTCTCCCCTCCTCGAGCCTCTGTTACTCTGTTCTTGCCCTGTTCGACGGTCTGATCTGGTTCTTGGCTGAATCGCAGGTGTTGGAGCTTGCGGGCAACGCGGCCAAGGACAACAAGAAGACCCGCATCATCCCGCGCCACCTGCTGCTCGCCGTCCGCAACGATCAGGAGCTTGGCAGGCTGCTCGCCGGCGTCACCATCGCCCACGGCGGCGTGATCCCCAACATCAACTCCGTGCTGCTCCCCAAGAAGTCCCCCGCCGCCGCCGAGAAGGAGGCCAAGTCGCCCAAGAAGAGATCTCCACCAAGTCCCCCAAGAAGAAGACCGCCGCCACCAAGGAGTAGCCGCCCCCATAGACTACTATCGTGACAGGATGAGGTGTTTTGGCTGGTTGGGTCCTGTATGTAATTGCCTAGTCTGTAGTGGCTGTTTCATCAGTTCGATGAGCAAGCCAGTAGGGGCTGTATTCTTATCTCTGATTTATGTCCGGAATGGCTAAAGATGCAATCCTTTCAATCATCTTCTCTTGTGTATCCATGGCTGCAATCCATCTTGTGTATGTTGCCTTTGCTTCAGAGACAATCTATCTTATAAATTGTACCTTCTGTCCGTTTAAACCTATGACAATATACTAAATTAGATACTCCTAAATTGCTTTCAGACAAACATGGCAAGGCAAATGACAAAATCTTTCATGACAACCGAACTAAACTTTGGATATTCAGATGTACCTAACAGACCTGAGAAACAATTAGGCAAATGAGATACCAGAACTACTTTTGGACTGAGAAATCAAGATGCTACTGTAGAAGAATGCTTGTCACACAAGAGGGCAAAAATTGCCGGATAATAAATAATCAAGTCGATGCTGCCCTTCATGTATCAATACAAAAAATACAATTTTCAGAAAACAAAGTTTGTATTTTTTACAAAGTTACCACTGGAGAAAATAACAGGTAATAATCTCAGTAAAACGTTTCACACGTAATGTTAAAAACTTATAAGTATCCCCCTTGCCCCTTTCTCTTTTACATTTTGCGCCAACTGTAACTCCCTGATCTCAGAATGAAAACAAATTATAAAATATAAAATTCACTAATTGCGAACTGAATCTTAGACATGTCTTCTATATGACTGTATCTTAAGAGAATAGCTTCCCTCTTACCCCCATCGTCTTGATGCGGACGTCTAGAGATTGATTAATATGAATTTTTGCGGGCATTGCGCCTTCAGTCTATGTGTATTGGACCTGCAGCTGAACCCAACACGTAGCAGGCCGACCCAGTCCAAGCCCTCCATCGTATTATCATTTCTCTGCTTCTCTCGTTTCATTTTTTTCTTTGTTTTTCCCTGTTGAAAGTTTTGTTCGTTTTGAAGATCAGATAGTAGTTTACAAATTCCCGTTCAAGAAAGAAAAGATAGAGAATAGTTTAGAAGTTTCATTCTATCTCGAGATTTTCTTCATTGGATTAATTCTTCGGTATATGCATAGCCATCTAAATATAATTGTTGATGTGATATATGTATATATTGAGGGGAAACGCAAGACACCTTTGATAAAAAATCTGAAAATAAAAATAAATACATAAAAACAAAAAGGAGAAAAACAGAACAAATCAAACAGAAAAAAAATTAATGCAGATTTAAAAAAATCAAGGAGTATGTGAAGAATGTTCAACCTATGTAGTGAAAATGTTCAATGTACATTGACCAAAAGTCGACATATATTTGGAAAAAGGAAAAATGAAGAAAACAAAAATATATATAATAAAAGAAAACCAATGAAAACCATTAGAAAAAAACATAGAAAGGGAGAAAAAAGGACAAAAAACCAACCAAAAGGTTCCTAAAACTAATCCAGGCCTCCCATGGAGAGTTTTGAAATCCGCTTAAACCAGTCGGCCCACTCACCGAACACACAACGATTTGTCTCGCAGTAAGCAAGATATAGCTCACCCAGGCACAACCAGACGCTGCTATGCAATGTCTATTGCATGTGTTAATGTTGTGGCGCTCACCTTGGTTGGCCCATAAGAATGTTGAGCCGCCAAAGCGATATATATTTGTTCACTGAAAAAGCTATGAGTTCGTAGACACAAAACCAGCCAAGTGGTTGTTATTAATACACAAAACCCATCAATATGTACATGTATTTATCTTAATATATTTCTTAGTTGTGTGCATCTAACTAAAAGAAGGAAGTTAAACAGTTTTGAGAGTGCATATAGACCCTAACTATATTTTGTTGTGATGATGGTATGTTTAGTAGGACTAACAACGTTTATCAAATTTATTTGACGACATTGGTTCCTTGATGAAAAGTAACGAGATGGTTCACCCCTCCCCCCCGCCCCAAAATGTGCCGGTTTGTCGAAGGACTCGAAATATTTTCTGGTTTATTTAAATCTTAAGAAAGTCGCGCTATTAAGAGGGGTTGAGGTTGCATCATTGTGGGGATCATGCCTAGTAAAAATCGTTCAGTACACCCTGCCCCCCCTTCCTGTCTTCGTGGTCCATTGGAGATGCTCTTAAAAGAAGACTATGTGAGTTGGTTCGGAGAGTGGACTTCATCGATCGGGAAACAAGATGGTAGTTGGAATTCAGATGCAACGAAGGCAGCATCATAGCTAAAGTACATCGATCTTGTCATGGCTTTAATGCATAAAGAGGCCTGGAGCTGCTCTGTTATATATTGGTAGCGGTTCTCATTTGTTTTTTTTTTCTGATAAAGGGCTTTTCATTGAATTGAAATATCGAGTTGATACAATTGCATCGTAGAACGCCCGGCCTCTGCATAACTAGATGCACGCAACCAACAAGTCCAAAAACCGAAAAGGAAAAGGAAAAGGCTCAAATAGCCAGTACGACAAAAAGAAGAAAAAGGCAGCCTAAGATGTGGCCGATCCTATCCGAAGATCACACAACCATCCATGGGGGTAGAAAACCTCCCTGGCTGAACACTCCAGCCGAGTAGACGCCAACTTAAAAAGGTCTCTGTCCTCCGCCCTCTGCAGGATAGACCACATACAAAGCCATCACGAACATATATGAATAACCTGCATAGGAGATGAAACATATTTATGGTTTAAAACTATGTCATTCGTGGTGAGCCACAGAGCCCAACATAAGATAGCCGCCCCCACTAGAATGTGTGCAGGAAATTGTTTATCTATTCCCCTCAACCAATTGCCGAACATGTTCCATGCACTATGTGGGGGGATAAATATTCGAAGCTATTTGAACAATGGCCCATATAGACCGAGCAAACTTGCACTAAAAAATAAGTGTTTAATGGACTCGTCATGATGGCAGAAAAACATATTTTGCACCCTTGTCAGTTGTGTCGTGCCAAATTATCCCTAGTTAAGATCACCCCCTCTATTGAGAAACCAGAGGAATATCTTCACTTTTAGAGGGATTTTGAGCTTCCCAATTTCCTGTTATCAATCGAAACCTCATTATGGACCAGTGCATCATACATGGACTTGACTGAAAACTTGCCATTCTGATGCAATTTCCATCTAAAGATATTCGGTTCCTCCGACAACTGGATGGCCCCCAGACGGCTGAGCAATTCATTCCAGGCTGCCAGACGAGGTCCTAGAAGATCACTACGAAAAGAAAATAACAAGATTTTCCTGACCCAAAGCTTGTTTGATCGTGACAAACTTATGTCTAACAATCCGGTACAAGCTTGGGTATTGCACACTAAGCGGATTGGTCCCCAACTAGGTATCTTCCTAGAAACGGACTTGGGAGTCGTCCCTGACCGAGAACGTTCCAAATTCAAAAAAGAATTCTTTAGCTTTCCTCACCCCACTCCAAAAATGAGAATCGCCAGGTTTCCAGTACTCTTGAGATATTGCTTTGGAACCCATGTATTTATTACAAATGATTTCCTGCCAAACACCATTCTCAATGAGTAGTTTATACACCCATTTGCTGAGAAGTGCGATGTTTTTGATCTCAAGGTCCTGGATTCCAAGACCCCCTTGGCTTTTAGGTCGACATAATACATTCCACCTAGCCAGACGATATTTCTTGGTTTCATTATCACTCTGCCAAAAAAATCTTAATCTAAAGTACTAGGTGTTGAAGCACTCCTTTTGGAAGATGGAAGAATGATAACATGTAAAGAACCATATTGGTGAGGACCAAGTTGATCAAAATTAATCGACCCCCATAGGACAAGAGTTTGGCCTTCCAACTGGCCAGGCGTTTCTCCAGTCTCTCTTCTACATGCTTCCATTCAGCTATAGTCAAGCGCCGATAATGAATGGGGATGCCCAGGTAACAAATCGGAAATTGCCTGAGCTAACATCCAAAGATTTCAGCATAATCAGGTGCTACTTCTGCGACCTCACCGAAACAGAAGAGTTTACTCTTATCAAAATTAATTTTGAGACCAGAGAGTTCCTCAAAAGCACATAACAACAATTTAAGGTTTCTGGCTTTTTTCTAAATCATGATCCAAGAATAGAATGGTATCATCCGTATATTGTAAAATAGATAGTCCTTCTTCTACCAAATGAGGTATGACATCGGTGACTTGTCCAGCTATCTTGGCCCTCTCAACAAGGATAGCTAGCATTTCAGGCACAATGTTAAACAAAATGGGGGATGCGGGGTCCCCTTGACGAAGCCCCTTCCTAGTCTGAAAGTAATTGCCCACATCATCATTTACCTTGATGGCCACACTGCCTCCAGACACGAAACTCTCTACCCATCGACACCATGTATTGGAAAACCTCTTCATGCGTAATGTTTGCAACAGAAAGGGACATTTCACTTTATCATAAGCTTTTTCGAAGTCGATTTTAAATATAACACCATTCAACTTTTTATGATGAAGCTCGTGTATAGTTTCATGCAGAACAACAACACCATCTAATATGTTCCGTCCTTGCATTCAAGCTGTTTGGGTGGGTTTGACTACATGGTCAGCCACCCCGTTCAGCCGATTAGTCGCAACCTTCGTAAAGATTTTAAAGCTTACGTTTAGTAGGCAAATCGGTGTATATTGTTGAATCCGACTAGCATCTTTAGTCTTAGGTAGAAGAATGATTTCCCCAAAGTTTAAGCGGGAGATGTCAAGCTGGTGAGCATGCAGTTCATTAAACAACTGAACTAAGTCTGACTTAATCATTTCCCAAAAACATTGATAGAACTCCGCCGGAAAACCATCCAGATCCGGAGACTTGTTGTGTTCCATCTGAAACACCGCAATACGAATTTCCTCCTCAGATGGAGAGGTTAGGAATTCATATTCCGCAGCTGAAACTTGATGAATGTCATGACTAATAGACTCATCCATCTCAAGAGTTGTATCAGTTGATGGTCCAAA